TTGTAAAAACCCACAAAAATATTTGCCAACACAGGACCCAAAGGGGAACCCATTGCTACACCATCGATCTGACGATACATGATATTGTCAAAACTAAAATCAACAAACATAGTGGCAAATTTCATGAGTTCAACGAACACTTCTTCAGGTATATTTGGAGGAGTCAAATCACTATGATATAACATATCGCTGCAAATATCCGATAAAGGAACACAAGTGAAGAGGCTACAGATGTCAAAGGAACACATAAATCCATCAGTGGCATCACAATTCCAAATGAATTTCTAAAAAGAAAACGAATCTTTAATACAAAAGGAACTATAATGCTGCAACACTGGTTGCAACAATATAACAAGCCACTTTGCGACTTTATGCTGTGAAGACCCAATCATCGATAATATGGGTCTCAACGGGACACCCTTCTTATGAATCTTGGGTAATCCATACAGACAGGGGACGAATAGAGCCAAGCGGTCTCAATTGCTCTGCCATTTCAGAAGAAAGAACACCACTTTTTACCCATTTGACAAGACGTTTCTGAAATCGAATTTCAGAAGTCAGCATAGAATCATGAGTGTCAATGGAACCAAGACGTTGAAAATTGGAAGGATCATTCAGTATACTTAACATTTTGTTAATGTAGTCATGACGGTCCAGGAGGACGACACCCGATCCCTTAAAATTAAATTGGTTGACTGGTGTGTGTTTTTGTTTTAAATCTATCATGGCCTACAATATAAAATTTCTTGCTTTTTATGCCTTAATACACTTCTGTACTGTTTCAAACATTATATATATATATATATATATATATATATATATATATATATATATATATATATACACACCCCTAAAATGGACATAATTTATAATGTTTATATCTGAGTAACTACATGTCCCAGGCAAACAAAATTAAATGGACTTCATGTTGAACAATAAAAGATTTATTTATTAAAATTTGAACAAGATATTCAAAGGGATGTAGATTTTATAACTGATTTCACAAATGTTCCATATGCACACCACCTGTCAAGCTCCTGGCGAACATACTGTAGCATGTCTTGCATAACATTCTCCAGTGTCTCAGTGCAGACTTAATGAGAATCTACCAGGATGATGGGTTGGGCATGTCAGTGATGATGACAATCTACTGTTGAAATGGCCACCATGTTCACCTTGTGATTTTTTTTTCTATGGGAAAGGATAGGTCTATATTACCCATACAAGCCTAGAGGAATTTAAGCAGAGAATCACTGAGTCTCTGAAGAATTTTACACAAGACATGCTACAGCATGTTTGGCAGGAACTGGACTACCAGCTTGATATGTGTCATGTCACAGGTGGTGAACATTTCTGAAAGCATATATATATGTATGTGTGTATGTATAAATATATATATATATATATACACACACACACACACACACACACACACACACACACACACACACACACACACACACATATATATATATATATATATATATATATATATATATAAACAACATACCAAGTCCAGTATATGCTACACAGTTATAAATAAAATAATAGTAGCTAGTCTTTTTTTTTCTTTATAACCAAAGCCGAAAATTTCAAAATGACAAAAAAGTGAAGAATTTAGTTTTAATTTAATAGAATGTGCTTAAAACTTAATGTTAAAATGGAAATTATTCAGGACAATTTTACAGTTTTTTTTTATCACAGCAAAGGTCGTGAATTCTTTTTTCCTAAAACAAAAAATCACCAAAATATCAAAATAATTTTATACGTATAATGAATAAATAGGCAAAAGAAATCTTTGTATATCTTATGTAAAAGTTTAGAAAAGTGTTGTTTTCTTTCTTCTCTCTCTCATTTTTCTTTTTTAATAGCTAAATATTTTTTTAAATTGTCATCAAACATAATTTAGAGCAAAAACATCCCAATTTAAACCAAATGTTAAAATTAAAGCAATTCCTTCAGTAATGACCATATATTTGGTTGACTTAATTTCAATGTATCAAATGACATCTTGTAAAGGTATTTTTAAATATTTAAAATTTTCTAAGTCTTTTCAACAATAAATGGCAGCAATTAAGATGTTACAATTTTTAGACATATATATTAGCTAAATAAAATCTTTAAAAAAATTGCATCAAATTGTGTGTAAGGTAAATTTTAAAAATAAATTTAAAAATCAGTTCGATTTCCAATGTTGCCAGTAATAATTTACGCATAAATAAAACATAAATTGATAAAAAAAATTGTCCTTGCCAACTGTTGCCAACAAGCTACTTAAGGAATAAATAAATATTTCCTCGGGTATTACAAATGGACTGATTTCAATGAAAATGGGCTTTTACAGTCTTGCTTAAATCAGTCAATTGAAACCAACTATTTTCATACCTATTCAAAGAATAATTCTACTAAACTAGTCAGTAACTCACTCATATTTTAACTGTAAAACATAAATTTATTTTCTGACATTTCTTTTAGAAGTATCATTTTAGTATAATTTTTATAATTTTCAAATGATGTTTGAAATTTTTTAATTACTTCCAATTAGATTAGCTATTTTGTAACATTTTTTTATAAATAGTTTTTTTTTTTTTTTGTAATTCATTTTATTTAATTTTTCAATATAAACATTTAACTTGCATGTTGTACAATACATTCAAATGATATGTGAATACCTTTACTGCTAGACACCAAGCCTACATTAAATGCAGCATAGAATGTTTTAAGAAAAAGATAATTTCAGTTTAGCCATAATCAAGAAGAGAATCAATCTTCAAGGAAGAAAGAATGATTGCCAACATTTTTTTTTTTTTTACACAACTGAATATGCAGAATTGGTAAAAAATTTTTTTTTCTCACTTAATTCTGAAAATAGTTAATTATTACAAAAGCAAACATTTACCTGAAATATTATTAAAATGTGTGGCTAATCAATGCATCACTGATAGATCTTTCTTGTTTATAACATGAAGTAAAATTTAAAAAATAATAATTTTAGTTGGCAATTTTACATGGAACCAAAAAACGAAATGTACATTAGGTACAAGGGAGATAACAAAAGTTAATGATAAATGGAGGTTATCATGGCAACTCAATCGCCTTTGGGACTTTGTACATTAATATTCAACGTCCCTTTTTTGGGGGAACAGTGGATATTAATAAGTTAGAGGTAGAAACTAATAATTAATACCAGATTTTTATTTTTAAAATTACTACTGGGTTTTAAGGTGGTCAACAATAGTTTCAGTATTTAATGTAGAACTGAAAATAACGATGGAAATATATCAATATTTGGTCATCAAGTGCAGGATGAGTAATTAAAGAACAGTTTTTTAATACAAAGAAATGCCTGTATCATCCAATAGTATGCTTGTTATTTCACACACAGGTCAGTGTGTGTGTATCTATCTATAAATATACTTTATATGTGTGTGTGTGTGTGTGTGTATATATATATATATATGAATTATATAAATAAAATCAAAATTGATTTGAGAATCCACCATATATATATATATATATATATATATATATATATATATATATATATAATCTGATGTACATACAATTTGACATATAAGGATCTGAAAACTTCATTCAGTTTTTATGTTTGTGTTGTATGCGACACTTCAGTCAAATTAGTGACCTGCATACAAATCCAAATATTGTGCAACAGTGAGGATCTCTGGACATAGCAACAGGAACATTTGCTGATGCTTTTTGTTGTTACCTTTCATCTCTTAGTTAATACAACTGATTTCAAAATTTCTGATACCACTCTACCACAAATATCTCCTGTTATTCCTATTCTGGGCACTCTTTTGCAGTTAGTATGATGCATATTGACAGTTAAGAGGTTACTCTTTATCTTGTCCTTATACCTGAGCCATGGCTGTCCAACATTCCTTTGTCCACTGTCAAGCTGGCTATACATGTGGACTTTAGGTATTGTGTCATCGCTCATCCTTGGAACATGACCAGCCCAGCAAAGTCATGACTGCATCAGGAAGGTCTCAATTCCATCAAAGTTGCATTTTGCGAAAGGATCAGCATAGGGCACCCTATTGTCAAAAGTATAGTTCAGCTTTAAGATTAATAAAACCTGAAGTCTGTTGCTCAGTTTCTGTGCCAATATTTTGCAGCAATTCCATGTTTTATTATCTATCTATCTATATATATATATCTATATATATATATTGTGTGTGTGTGTGTGTAAACATAGCATGTTATATAGATATGTATATAATATAGTTTTGTATGTACATACAAAGTTATGTATTTATCACAGATTTTACAAGTACTTGGCTGCTTAGTACATGGAATTTATTTTCTTTTCATTTGAAATATGTTTCACTTTCTCTAGATTTATATGACTGAGGCTCATGAACACTGCAACTGAGTGACATTTCAAGCCTCTCATTAATGATAGGCTTTGTTGGTTTAATTGTGGAAACGTCATTTTTTTTATTGTATATTACATTCATTACAATCCTAAATATCAAAATGAGCCTTTCAAGCTGGTTGAAGATATTTTTACCCAGGTATTTTTTTTTTATGAATGCATTATGTAATCCCTATGAATTTAGCAATAAATTAACAAGAGTTGCCAGTTTAGCTATTTTGAATCTAAATTTTGCTCTTTGTTAGTGCAATTAATTCCAGTAAATCAGCATTTAGCTCTTTTTTTTAATATTTATTTCATAAATTAGAAAAAGAACGAGGTATTGATTTACAGGAATCAAATGCACTAACACAGCGAGATCTAGCCCCAAAAGAGATTTTGTTAGATTTAAAATGTGGAATTTGATTGTAAGAGATCTGAAAATATGACCAGAAAAAAAGTTGAAATCAAAACCATTTTACAAAACAAAATAATTTCAATAGTGTATAAATTACAAATATAGTTGATTTGTAATACTGAAATAATTAATTAATAAAATAACTTTCATTTCATTGCTATTTAAATATTCTTTGGTCATAAGAGAAAAAAAAAACATTTTTTTTCAAAGCTGAAAAACATGAAGCTTCATTGAAGGCTTTAATTCTGAAACAACAACTTCGCCTAAGGGACTGATATGGATTCCACCGGGATTTGCAAGCCCATCTTTGGCTGTTAACAAAACTGATTCAAAATCCCCATTCATAGTAAATCTAAGTACGCGATTTCTGTCACTGTCGGTTACATAGATGAAACTATTGTCTGTAGTGACATCTTCGGGATGCTCCAGAGCATGCTCCCCAGAGCCACGATAGGTAAATTTCATCTGCCCTTCTTTATCAAAGCAGTATAAACACTTGAGTCGGTTACCAACAATAAGGATATTCATTTGCTGAGTGACTGTCATGTACCAAAGGCCACCCTCGAGGATACCCGTTTCTAAGTCCAGGTCAACTGTCTGCACGTTCTGTATTTCATTATCGTCCTTGAAAACAAGAATGTCAACACAAAGCGTGTAGTAGTTAATTGAACAAACCAGACGACAATAATCAGGGCTGGCAACACTCTCGTAAGACTTGAGTGTTTTCAAATTTTTGCGAATTTCGATGCAGCCATTGCATTTGACAAAACAGATCTGCTTGTTCTCAGGGAGTGTGACGACTACTTCGTAATTGGCCCACAGACAAATTCCGTGTGGGGGTGAATGCAGCTCAAACTCTTCCAACATCTGACCGTCGAATCCAAATTTTTTCAAAGCACCACTGTGCCGGTCGCTGACGACGATAAATTTTTTCGGAATGACCACCAAATTGTCTAGCCGGGATCCGTCCTTCCGTTTAACGATGCTCCGACACTCAAAAGTCGATATTTTGTTGGGGATGCTGTCGTGTGTCCACGTGACAGTTCGGTAGTGTTTCATTTGATTTTCTTTATAGGGTACATTCTCTTCTTCCATTATGGTCCGACAGATTTCATATTTTGACATTTCTTTGAAACCGCGAAGAAAGGAAGGATTTGGGTGAATACGTGGCATTAGACGCATACACTGCAAGGATGGGATCTTGAGTTCAGTGCTGGTAAAGATCTCGCCAGACAAAGTGCATACATCCGGATCAGTAGTCGTTTCATTTGACTTCTTTATCTGGACAATACGATCACCAAGGTAAGAAGATATTTGTCTAGTCTGTGCTAATAACTTGTTTAAATTATCTTGTTGCTCTTCAAACTCGTGTTCAGCTTCACTAACCGCTGTAGCCGCTTTCTCGAGTAAAATTTTGATCATTTCCTCTGTAGAAATACGAACCTCATTCAATGTACCTTCCTTGTGTTGGGTCAGTTTCTCTAGCTGACTTTGTACCATATTGGCAAGCTCATCCATCTCCGACTTACGGTTCTGTAAGGAAACATTCAATTGTCGACGGGCCCGGTCGGTGAGTACCACTTTACAAGAACTGTGGGTATCAATAAAGCATCCGCAACAAACCATTTTACTGCAACTAGCGCAGAAGATATTTAGATCTTCACCTGTGTGAATTGGACAGGTGGATGTAGCTGCAGAAGCCTGCCAGATCACTGCTTGGGACAGACTGACCGTCTCGTGTTTCGAATCGGGTGGTCGTGGGAAAATTTTATGTTCGAGGTTACAGGCTGGACATAGGCTTTCGTTACAGCTTTTACACCAGGAGGTCGCCTTGCGATTACCCTGCCCTCGACGTCGACACGATTTGCATGTTTCGAACTCACTCCACTGACTTTTGCGAGGAGACATTCCGCTACCAACAAAAAAATTAGTGGGAAATGTTTTCGCCCATCCACTTAATTGTACTGAAGAACTCGGAGGAATGACCCGACCACGACAAGAAGGGCAGGAGAATGTGCCTCGGCTATTGATTTCCTCCTCCCGACTATTGATATGGTTTTGCAGACATCGACAACAAAATGTGTGTAGGCAAGGGATTAGAGCTTTTGGTTCCTTAAAGTCTTCTAAGCAAATGTAGCAGCAGAAGACATCGTTTCTGCTGTTTTCTGCAGCCATATTGGTCGAGGCACGAGAAGATTGATTAATATGCGCATGCGCAGATTACAGTAAGTGAGAGTGCTCTCCCCTGCATCAAAATTCTTGCCTCACTGAAAGTTAATTTTTCTATTTAAAAATTAAAATGTTACAGTTAGCCCTTTTTATTGGTATTTACTTTCTACACACCCCATATATACGTGTAAAATTATTATAGCAGAGATAATTAAATATGCAGTGTATTGTGAGCCTCTGAGCAGTAAAGAGTAAAATACGTCCAGAAAAGAAATTATATGAATGTAAGTTCGTTTAAAACCATGAGCTACATGATAAAAAAAGCCCCTAACTTAATAAAAACAAAGGTTTCGTTTATCGTCACTCAAAATCCTTGTAGGAAAGACTAAAGGACTTTTGATTAAGTTGTATTTTTAATCCTTCTTAGAACCTTCAAAATTTTAGTGAAAAAAATCGTTTTTGTTTTGTTTTTTGCGTCAACGGGTGACCGTAAATTAGTATTTGAAATTTTAGTGTCTTTAAAAAAAAACATTGATTTGAAAATTGTTGCAAAAATCAAATAATTGTCGGCTTTTAATGACAAATAAATTCACAAATAAATTTATTAAATTATTTTAGAAATGTTCCTTGTTTAGAAAATCTTGTTAAAATTTTTTTTTTTTAAATATGTTACCGCATCACCACCACTTATTTAATTTTATAAAATTTGAGAAAGCACAAATCCTTGGAGAATAAAACATCAATTTTTTTATTTGTAAAACAGGACCCCGAGTTATAGAAAATCTACTCTGAGTCGTAAAATAAAAACATAAAACTAAGACATTTAATTAGAAAAGTTTGTAATTGCTTTTAAGAATAAGATGGACACTACTGTCTCATAAAAAAATTGTCGTCTGGTTATTGATGAATAATGAATTTTTGCAAGAATTGTTTTCATTTTTTTAAAATTTAATTATAATATTTTATAAAGTTATAAAGTTTTTTAAAATTCTGTATTAATTTTTACCGGTTAGATGATATTGTTATTTAGTAAAACCTACATTTACTAATCATAGATGGAAAAACTTACTACAATTCAGCGATCCTCATTATTTTTAAAATATTTTTTTTATTTTTGTGTTTGTATAAACGTGCCGATTCTTGTAAATACGGACGTCCATACGCAATATTATCAGAGTGGTAACTATAGTAAATTTAAAGCCAAAGTCCCTAAAGTTGAATAAAATATTAGATTATTTAGTATATTTTCCTAAATTTTAATGATTACCAGGTAGTTAAAAAATTATTTAAAAGTTTATATTCGTTAAGTAATTATATTCTTCAAGTAAATTTTACAGTTATAGCCCACGTAGAAAAAAATTCTCAAATATAGGTCTAGCGAGAAAGTTGTCAACACCTCATAAAACACACATCTCCGTGTTAAAAAGTGCTTTTCTGCGATATTTAAAACTAATTTTAATATTTGATTAGTTAAACTTTAAATCAGTTAATCTTCCTCAGATAATATTTCAGAAAAGTATATTTTATTTTTTTTATAACGAGAATCACATTGTGATGACAGATTCGCTAAAATGGCTGATTTTTGGCAATTTTAACGATTTCAGTCAATTTAAATTTGGTTTGAAATACAGCAAAGTATTTTGCTTATTGGAAATATTAAGTTCAATTTATTAGCTTCAAATTAAGAATAAAATAAAAGCTTCAAGAAAGATTTTCCGTTTTCTAAAATGCATTTTAAACCTTAGGTATCTATTTTCTTTGGATGTACTTATATGAATGTAAATAAAGTAAAACAGTCATTTCAAAACGGAATTCCATTGGAAAAGGCATTAATCCGTCTCCTCCCCTCCAGCTAGGGATTAAAAAGCAGACTAGACTGATCTCTTTAGCCTTGAGCGTGTTATATTAAGCGTTTGGTTGCGAGATAAAGGAATAACGAGGATTAGAATTTGAACAACGTTTATTGTTAGTATATACACAGTTTCGTACAGATATCGCAACATAGATAGAGTGTCCGTTTCTGTTATGGCAATCAGGGTTAAGAGGAAAACCGGGAATTGATGGTCGGTGTACGTGTTGGTTATGCTGAGGTGACAGCTTTGGGTTGGTGATGTGTTGCCCCGGAGTGATTAGCGAAGCTATAAATATGACTATGATGATACGAGGGTGCGAAAGTGAGTAGTCGGCAGAAGTCACGAATTTGTCTTTGCTGATGCTGGTTATGCCGATGTGATGGCGGTGGGCTGCAGAGGTGTTGTCATACTGAAGCTGGACAGTCGAGGTGGTCAGTCAAACCAGGGAGCGTCAACAGCCGGAGAGAGGAACTGTCATGGTGACGGCGGTGTCAGAAATGCCCTGCGTGACGGCCGGTAGCCTGCTGGCCCTCTACTGATTTGGTCGCTCTCAGAGACCTGCTTTTAAGCAGGTCAGGTAGTCCCCAGGGCCATCTCTTTTTTTTTTCCAGCGGGAACTTTCGTGAATGGCCACTGCCGTAGCCTGCTTCGTGGACTGGACGCGATGCGTCGAGCCTATGCGCAGAAAACGACTTTTTTTATATAACAAGCGGCAGCCAGCCTAAGAGAGGAAACGAAAAACTTTGAATTCTAAACAGTCGAGAAGGCCACGGGGAAATACTCCATTATTTTTCCAAGAAGGTATGGAAATTTACAGTTAATAAGAGAAAGGAATCTGTGGAAAGTCATGAAAGGGCATAGTACTTAAAATGGGTGGTGCGTATGCGTGGAAACTGTGTGTGTACATTTGTGTGAAAGTTTTTAGAAAAGAAAAGGAGTAAGGAAAGTAGACTAAGTGATAATGAGAATCTTACAACTTTGCCGGAGTAAAGTAAAGCACTTACGAAATAGTAACTTGCCCTCTATAGATATATGCATAACGTTTATCGACATGGAAAGTGGAATCGGCGTGCCGAGTTCAAATTCTGACCAAGTCTTGAAAAAGGTTAAATAGTATAGTGGCGTAGGGCTTAGGGGTTAAAATGAACAGTTGATTTACCCACGCCAAGATTAGTAAAGGATGATAATGACAAGGAAACACACGATTCCTAAAATGAAACCGAATATGTCGCTTTGAAAAAAATAGTAAAGATTAGATGCGACTTCAAATAAATCTCAACAGAAGATAATTTTTGTTTCTATTCTCGCTTGCTTAAGTTGTAAAATGTATTTAAAACGAACTGAGAGCTACAATGAATAAAGCAAAACGAAATAATAATCCATCCCTCTTTTCGGCCTTGTGCCATAATTGTATTAATCTCATTATAAAACGCAGATTGTGCTTGTGTGTGTGTGTGTGTGTCTGTAACGTTTATATATTGGATCGGATTTCCTACATTTTTCAACCGATTTCAACAAAACTTCACAGGACCACATAAAATTACCTTGCGGTGGTTCTGACAGCGCCAAAAATTGGAAAAAACACAATTCTTTTTGCACGAAATCAATTTGAAAACACGATTAAGAGGCATCACGAGAATGAAAGGGGGACAACTCATATCGAGTTATACTTATTATAAAACCCAGGTTGTTTGTGTATGTGTGTGTTCGTTTATATATGGGATCGGATTTCCTACATTTTTCAACCGATTTCAACAAAACTTCACTTTTTTTTTTTTGGCAGGTAGTGTTTTCAGAATGCTTTAAAAATTCCATTTACAAGACAATTGTTTATAATAAAATTCTATTCAATCGGTAGATCCATAACGATTGAAAACAATGTTTTTGTTTGAGTTTGGGTTTCACCAATTCGTAAAAAAAAAAAAAAAAAAAAAAAAAAAAAAACTAATTAAGACATGCGTGTCCGTCAACCTTAAACAATAATCTTTGTCAATTTTATTTTTAAGTCTTTATGATGGTCGATACTTGATCTACAGTTACATCCCCGGGCAACGCCGGGCTCTTCTGTAGTTTACAATAAATCTCAATAGCAAAAACAAAATAATGTGAAATAATTCAACTCAGTTTTGTCTTCTAGTTGCTGTCATGTGTAGAAGTAACACTTTATGACCTGCTATTGCAGATGACTGAGAAACACGATTGAATCACGACAGAAGAAAGACGCTTTCAGTTTAAAAAAAAAATGTTAGGCATTTTTACTGAACTAGAATTTGAAATTATCGTTAACATTTTTGCCGAGATTTACAAACTCCACATTTCGTTCAATTTCGCAAACCAATCGATGAAATTTGAATAAGCTGATTTTTTTTGGAAAATACTTTGACAAAAAAAAAAACTACTTCGAGGTTTAATAATAAGAAGATTAATTTTATAGGACTTCATGGTGAACAATATTTTTTAAGAAAATTTCTTTTTTTCCTTTTTAACGGCGAAGAATAAATTCTTAGGATTTCCTACTCTTGGTTGAGCTTGCAACATACAATTGGCCATGAGTAAATATTTCTTTCCGGGTCCAAATTCCAACTTTTTGAAGCGTTTAGCCTTGTGATTTGCTTATAGTTCTCGCAAACGCAGGGCAAACTGGAAACTGAATTCTTATACAGTGTAACCCGGATATAGGAGACCCGGATATAAGAGAAATCTGGATATAAGAGAGATTTTCTCTGGTCCCAAATTAGAGCCATACTTACCTAAACAAAATAGACTAAACCCGGATATAAGAGAAACCCGGATATAAGTGACTTCTTCTCCGGTCCCGACAACTCTCTTATATCCGGGTTACACTGTATATATTATAAAAGCTTAAAAAAAAAGATATGCCAAAAAGCAATATTTCATTTTTATTAAACAAGTATTTGTTATTTTAATTTTATAGGTACCTCCATAATTTCGCTGAAAAAAAAAAAAAAAAAAAACAGCCTCGCATGATGAAAAAAAGACCCCAAGCTTAATAATAAAAGAAAGTTTTATCGTCAAAATGTTTATGTTATTAGAAAAGACCAACCAAAGTATTTTTATTATTTTATTAAATTTTTTAATCTTTTCTAGCACGTTCGAAATTTTGGTTAAAAATTTTGTTTTTTATTTTTATTT